CCCTCCTGCCTCAGCCTCTCAAATTGCTGGGAAATCAGGAGTGCACCACCTTACTGGGTTTGCTAGTTATTTAAATTAGTCATTTTCCTAATGACTAATTTAAATAACTTTTAAGTCAACCCTTTCTTCAATTCACTGACTCCACTTTCCACTTGTACTATTGCAACACACTACTTCTTAGAATGATTACTCAGAGCATATAAACCCACACAGTTAGATTCAATCAAATTACCTCTATGCCCTTGAAGAGTTCCTGAGCCTACCCAGGCAAAGATCAGCATCTCCTCATATGACAAAGATATATATTTATTAAAGTTCCCTAGGAGGTTCTAATATGACAGGTTCGAGAACTTCCAGGTTGAGGCATTGCTTCCTGAAACAATTCTGATCATGGAAGTCACCTGGGGCACTTTTAAAAGGGTAAATTTTCTGGCCCAGCACCAGATTTTTGGAAACAAAATTTCCAGAAGTGCCCATAGGTGATTTTTATTATCAGTTTAGTTTAGGAAATCCTGGGCTAGGGAATAATCAAATGGCAACAAACACAGAGGGTGATTTGAAACTAGATAATCTGGTTTGTAAGATATGTCTTCTCGTAACTTGGCTCTCACAAGATAAAGCTTACTTATCTTTGGCTTGTGACCCACTGTAGGGGTGTTGCCCCAACTAACTAAGATGGTTCATCTTTAACCCTGTCCAGTTAGGCATGCCCACATACACCATGAGGTCCAGAATTCAGTATGAGGCCCAGAGAGAGCCTGAGCTGCCCCTTCTGGACACTTAATCCCTATTTGTGGCTCTTACTCTCTGGTGAAATCATAGCTGTCTTACTGTATACCGAGAATTTTTCAAATGTTGTATTATCACTAATCCTCCCAGCATCTCTGAGAAAGTGAGTTATATTTTCATTTTATAGATGTAGCTCAGAGACATAAAAATGTGTCCAAGGTCACATACCTAATACGTGGCTGAGCATGAATCCATCCCACATGATTACACAGCTGTGGCACATTCCTCTGGAAGATCACTTCTCTATCCCCACTTCTAACTCACTGGACTATCTTGCTTGCTGCTAAGGCTTCTCAGCTATACTCAGCAATTTCAACCACCAGAACCATCCTGCCTCAAAGAATCCCAGGGTAGGTAATGAGGGGGCTTTGAGAAAAGGGAACTCAATTATAGAGAAGTCAAGGGGATAGGGACAGCAACTGGCTGAGTACAGATGGCTACACTTCCCCATCCCACCCACATCACTACATCCTCCTATCACTGAATGAAGCCGGAAGGGGATATCACCTCAGCTCTGGGCAGCAGGAAAGAAGTTGACCTCTGGGAGGGAGATAGCAGGGGAGGGGTTACAGCAAAGGGAAAATGGGAGGGGGTACCCTCTCCCAGCAAAACAAAAGACAGAAAAGTTTCCAGCCATATTAGGTGAGTCTTGTGACTCTGTCACACTGGTTAGGGGGTCTAGGATCCATGGGGCTATGGAATTTTATGATGCTTCACTATCCACGTAGTCCATGGAAGCACTGGTAGATAGCAGCCATCCCTAAAGGAAAGCCATGGAGCCAGAGGACCTCAGGATAAAAGCTTATTGAACCATGTATTGCCTGACAAGTGTCAAGACAAGAATGAAGAAGGCTACCCCCAGAGGGTCCTTCCATCATAGGGTCCTCACTGGACCCTGGTAGTGATCAACAATTCCCTCTTCCCATGACACTCTCTCCCATCTCCCGATAGAATCAAATTCTAAGTGAGAATTCTACGCCTGCTATATAAATGCCATTTCAAGACAAGTCATCCAGTTTCACTCTACCCCAAGCTTATCCTATTTAGAAGTTTTCAAAGCTACCATTAGCTTCCGGATGCCTTCTGGAGGACAGAGGGAGAAGACACTGTGAGTTTGTTAGGGTATTCAAGGGGGCAATCTCTCCTTCCCATAGGAATTGGAATCACAAACTCCTGATCAGACCTAGTCTCAGCACTATAACCGAAGGAGCAGAAGAGGCCACTGGAGAGAAAGCCAGCAAGCTGGAAGTGTTGCAAGATGCAACAGGCCTGTGAGAAGACTTTGTAGAGAATAAGGGACTGGAAGTGACTTAGTGGTCTTCCATCTTTAGTATGGACATTTTAAGTTATAAGGAAGTTAAAGCTAGATGGGACGGGGCAGTCCCAGTGAGAGGTTAAGAGTGAGACCCTGCAACCAGAATATCAGGGGACCTGCCTTTGCAGGGGAAATATGTTTCTGAGTGTGGAAGAGCTTTCAGCTAACCAACTTTGAGTGGATCTGTCTTGAGTTCATGACCTTTGAAGGTTTTTGACACACAAAGGTCCACAATAATGTCCAGGGACCTTCACTATCTTCTTGACAACCCCAAAGGAGTCTCTTCTAAAGGAGTATCTGGCTGGCCTGCTACCTGCTGCTAGTTCCTGTCCTTTCATCTGTGACCTCTGCTCCCTACATCTGTGCTTCTTGCTTTACAGACTGTAGCTATTTCTGCTCTTTCAGAAAAGAAGGGCCGGGATGTTTTCCCCTTCCCAAGGTTACAGCTGCCCGGACTAGGAAGAAATCTGCTTCCTTTAGACCTCTTGGTGTTTGAATCTAGGGACAAGCACAATGTAGGGCACACTACCTAAATAAGACTCTTCTGTCTCATCCATCATTCACTCAACACATTTACTGAGTACTTCTATGTGCCAAGAGCCAGAGATATACTAGTGATCAAAATATATAGATTATAGTGTCGTCCCAGTGGCCCTGACACTTCAGAAGACCCCCAAATAAAGTCTTCTGTACTTATATACTTATAGAAGTATTTATGATATCAATAATCAACAAAGAATTCATATCTGAGTATATAAAGAACTCCCATAAAGCAAGAAGATATAAAACCAAATAGAAAATTGACACAATACTTGAACAAATATCCAAGTGGCAAATATACATAGGAAAAGGTGTTCAACCTCATTCAATATGAGGTCAATGCAATTTTTTTTTTTCTTCCAGGGACACTTTATCACTGAGCTACATTTCCAACCCTTTTCATTTTATATTTTGCAACAAGGACTTGCCAAGTTGCTGAGGGTCTCACTAAGTTGCCCAGGCTGGTCTTGAATTTGCAATCCTCCTGACTTAGTCTTCTGAGGCATAGGCATCACAGGGGTGTGCTACCACAACTGACTATAGGAAATGCAAATTTACACCACAATGAAATGCGATTACACACCCAACAGGATGACTAAAATTTTTAATCTTTTTAGATTGATAATACTAAGTGTTGATAAGAACATGTAACAACTAGAATGGTAAGACACTGTTGGGAAGACTGTAAATTAACACAAGCACAAAGGAAAATTGTTTAGTAGTATTTGCTAAAGCTAAACATTTGCCAGTGCTACAGCCTAATAATTCTATTCCTGTGTATATTTCCAAAAAAGTATGAACACAAGTGCACAAAGGACATGAACAAAAAATGTTATAGTAGTTTCATGTAATAACACCAAACTAGAAACAAATGACCATCAACAAAATAACAGATGAATTGTGGCATATTCACTTAATGGCATATTATATAGCAATTAAAATAAATGAACTACTGATACCACATATTATAGATGAGTTTCAGAAACATATTATTGAGTGAAAGAAGTCAGACACAAATAATACCTACTGAATGGTTCCATTTATATAAAAATCAAAAGTAGGCAGGTAAAATTAATTGATAGTGTTAAAGAGAGGTTTCCTTTGGGAAGAAGGGTGATGTGACCAGGAGGGGATAGAAGGAGGGCTGCTGGGATGCACATAATGATCAAATTCTTAATCTGGGTGGTGGCTATGTGGGTCTGACTACTCACTGTGTTATGATTTGTTAATCTGTGCACGTAGATTTTGAACACTATCCCATATGTCTAAAATGCATTCACTTTTTGGAAAAGTATCCACAGGAAATAAGGGGGATTAAAAAATGTAAAGAAATAGGACTGGGGCTGTAGCTCAGTAACAGAGCTAGCAGGTGTGAGGCACAGGGTTCAATGATTAGCACCACATTAAAAAAATAAACAAATAAAGGCATTCTGTCCATCTACAACTACAAAAAAATTTAATAAAGAAATAGGAAGATCAAGATTTTATACATAGGTAGCTGAACAAGCTGTGGAGATGAAATAGAGTGGGTTGGGGGGCATTGAATGGAGTAGGGAAAAGTTGTCTCCAGTTCCTGACTGGACATACACATCAGTCATAATTCCCAGCCCAACCTTAGGGATTTACAAACCTGGTATTTTGGAGGAGGCCTAGTGTTTCCCAGTATCAGATCTACTTCTGTCTTCAGGCTGAGAGACTCAGTATTTAAAGCCAAAATTGGGATCTGAGACACTGACATTGGCTTCACTGGGTCCCCAAAGATTGTAGGCCCTTAATGCAAGGCCCCAGTAGCTGAGCTGCTAATCCTAGGGTACTGGATTGGAGAGTACAGGGCTGGTTGAGTGTATGTATTTATAATCGCTGTCCAAAGGAATGACTTGCTCAGGTTGCTGTGTGTGCCCTCGGTGCATACGTGTGCTGAAAATTCCATAGCCAGCCCTGACGCTTCTTCTCAGGTACATCTCTGTTCCAAACTCCCGTAGTACAAATGCCCCGTGCGCCATTTTCCGCGAGGAAAAGGGCAGGAAGGAACCTCTGGTCACAGGTTCCACCGACAAGAGAGGAAAACCTGACAGTGGGGGTTCCTTTTGGGGGAAGGGTCACATCCCCTGCGCGAAAACATCCCAGTGAGAATGAATATTGTGGGTCTGCGTTGGAGAGGTGGGGACACCCCAGGGAGGAAGTGGCAAAAAGCGAGCTTGGGAACACCCCTCTTTGATCCCACAAGGTGCGTCAGGGAAACTTGGATTTCATTTCGCTCGGGATAGAGGCATCTGCCCCACCGCTACCACCCGTGCGGCCACGAGGCTCAGTGGGTCAAAGGAAGGCGCGCCCCCCTCCCCGCCGCCGCCCTTACCTCAGGTGATGCGTGTGCGACCCCGGCCACGAGTCTGACCTCTTTTTCCCTCCCTCCCGCCCATCCCCACCCCTTTGAAGGCTGGGACTTTATTAAGACCGGATTCGTAAGGGCCAAGTCATTTGCTTTGAGGAACGCGGAACCCGGCGGAAGCGCGACGTGACCAGTCAGCGAGAGAAGAGCGGGGTCCAAGAACTGGGTAAGGACGGTTGGGTCCGGGGACTAGGCGCGGGGAAGGAGCAGCGGATGGCTGCTGGAGCCCGCGGGACCGGAGCTGGTTGGCTGCTCCGCAGGGATGTTGGCCGGTCGTCTGGAAGGCCAGAGGCTGGAAGGAAGCACTCGAGATGCCCGGGTACCCGCGCACAGGCGCACTGGCCTTTCTAAGGCGACAGGAGCTCCGGCACCGCAGAGCGGACGCGATGGCGGTGGGACTGCGTAGTGAGCGTCGGCCAGCAGGGACATGGGGCGGGCTACTGGCCGATGCGCGCAGGGACCTGCTGGCCGCTGTGGCGACAGCCGGCTCGCAGTTCCCGTCACTCCTCGCCCTGCTTTTCCCCGGCGCCCCGCCTTCGTAGCACAAAGCGAAGGAAAGGGGCCGAGCCGAGGTTGGGCCCGCCCTCATACCGCTCCCCGATTGGCTGCTACAGCTGTCCGTCCAGAATCTTTTTTTTTTTTTTTTGATGGAGGAGGGGGTGCCTCCCAGTCTGCCCCAGATCACGTTTGCCACCGGCAGCCAACCAGTCAGGCCCAAGTCGGCGGGCAACAAGCGATTGGGGACGAGAGAGCTCGGCTCCCCAGTTCCCCCGTCCAGGTCCCCCCCCCGCCGGGCCCGAGGCGGTATATCCTGCTCTCCCCGGTCACCTCCCACTCGTGGAAGCGGAGCTGCGGCCTCGCTGTAACGCAGAAACGAAATGTAGCCAGCCGGGTGTCGCGGCTGGACGCTCGCCTTGGCTGGGGGTGTGGGGGGGCACGCGGGGGGCCGAGGAGGACTGCCAAGGAAGAGGAGTGATGAGAAGAGGGGGAACCCTGCACCCCCCGAGACCACGGGCCCCTGCTGCCACTCACCAGGCGCCCCCCTTCCTCCCAAGCGAGGGGCAGGTCAGTGCTGTTGGGTCTGGGGACCGGGGTAGGTAGCGGAGGGCGGGAGTGTTGGCGCGTAGCGCATTTGCTGAGTATGAGTCCTGGAGAGACGTCCGAGGCCACCCAGTTACTTCTCCTCCTCCTTAGGGTTGGGGGATACCAAAACGAGTCTTTTTTTGTCCCCTTCTGGGAGGAGGGTATGGGGCGTCTCTGGGCCTGAGGCCCGTCCCAAGTCTCCTTACTGTAGGAGTGGGTGAGGGACCGGCTGCTTCTCCCGCAAGCCCCCCTTTCAGGTTAAGTGGCCTGCCAGGAAACCAGGAGGGGGCGGGGGTGTCAGGTTTTAGCGAACTCAGAAACTTTTCTGGCATGGGCCAGTGAACTCAGAGGTTTCTCCTGGCCCTCTAGTGAAGATCTTTGAAAGGACCCCAGTACACTGATTGGAAAAGGGGTCTTGGTGGTGACTGAATTGATAGGAAGAGAAAATAATTCCCTTGGACCTGTTCCTGGGGTTTGATTCAGCCTTTCCCCAACTGGAGTTGACTAAGTGTAAGTGTGTGGAATACTTAAGGGCCTGTTCATCCTACCTGTGGGAACCCTCTTTCAATTTATTTTTTATTTGTGAGAGTCATTCTGATGAAATGAAATAGGGTGAAATCAAGGCCCAGGGATCCCTTTAGGCAAAGAAAAGAAGGACCATGACAGCCAAAGACATGATTTAGGAGCAAGTGCATATTAGCTTATGGTGCTTGGGTTTTTGTTTTGGCTTCTTTGCTTTTCTTTTTATTTTCTATTGATATTTTGGGGGGGGTTGTTTTCGTTTTTAGGAATTACACTCTATCAGACTCACTGATTCTGATCTGGAGAACAGGGGGGATCCTAGATTACTGAAATATATGAATAATAATGAAGAATAGTTTTACCCTCTCTCCCTTCAAATGAAGATAACTGCCTTGTCCTGTCTGACAAGCTCACAGGGCCAAACACAGGGAAGAGAAGCAGAGACAGAAGCCTGGACCAGAGTCAGCGTCTGAGCTTTTTGTAACACTGTTGACTCTCAAGGGCAGGAGTGGGTAGGCCTCTGGCTCTTGGCCTTGGTTTGGCAGGCTTGCCCCACTGCCCAGGGAGTCCTCCCTGTTTCGTTGTGTTTTTTCCCCTTAGGGACTGTAGCGTTTGGTGGTCTGAGGGCTTTACTCTGATCAGTGTCCTGTCTTACCGTTGCTGTCTTGTGATGGTAAACAGTAACCTTCTGTAGCGGGGTGTCTGTGTAGGAAGTTTACAACTGAATTTGCAATTTTCCCATGGAGAGAGAGATCACACTTAAATAATCCTGAATCTTGTTGGAATTCAAAAGGGATCTCCCTGAGGACACCCCTGCCCACCCCAGGCTGCTGAGAAGACTAGGTCTTCCACACAGTCTTCCTGAGGCAGTGGGTGAGTGGTTGGGAGGACGGTGGGAGTAGCACCTGCTGGGCCTCTGGATATAACCGAGCAGGAACAAGTAATTTTAGTGGAAAGAGAAAGGCAAATAGCAAACTCTA